ACGACCGATGACGTAATCATCATACAGACTCCCCCACCCCCATGTCATCCAAAATAAGCAAAGAAAAAACCCCCCGCCCCCCTATAGTGCTTACGTAAAAACGGCCCCTCATAATAAACGGTTTCGATTTACTATCATTTTATTATAAGAATATATTGATGGGAGAAAGTCGAAAAAATTTATTCAATTTTAATAATGCTTAGCGGGCCGAAAAAATTTTCTAATGGGCCGAAAAAGGCCCGCGGCCCGCGAATTGCTCACCCCTGTTCTAAGAGATAGTTGTACTAGATTAGCTAGCTATACTAATAAAATAGATCATCATAATAAATATTACTTACTCATTTAAGTACTTGTTTAATTTCCCATCTGTTTTCTGATTGATCTCCTCAGCGGTTGGCGTTAGTTCGAACTTCTTTCCCACCTCGTACACGCCAACCACTAGACCTTTCTAGAATCAGAAAGTAATTCATGAATGTTTCTAAGCGATTCATAATTAAAAACAGCGAGCGGATTATCTTCTTTCTTTTCAATGGCAACTAAATGTACTTTCCCTAGAATGTTGAGACGACTTGAGCGGATCTGAATAATATTAGACAAAGATATCAGGAGGATAAAGGGCTATCTTTTAACTAAAAGAAAGTAAAACAAAGTTATTAACAAAGTAAAATAAAGTCATGAAATTTGTGTGTACCATAACAAGTATACAAAAAGAATAACCTCAAACAATTCACACAGCGCATTTAGTCCCAAACTACGCTGTTTGTTCAAAATCTACCCTGTAACATCGTAAGCACAGATTATTATATTAGAGTCCTTTAGTTTCTGTTCCCGCGCTTTCGCTTTCCTCTCCCTTGCCCAGTAACAAACGGACCGTACAGCGGCCTTGACGCGCGCGCGCATTTGTTGCGAATTAAAATAAATTAGAACTGTGAAACCTACTGTGAAACTGGAAAGCTAGCGAATATACCTTCGAGACCCTGAAGCCCAAGAAATCCGCAGAACCATACAGGTACGTGACAGACATAGTAAATTCCCTAACATTTTGTTAGCAGAGAGTAGTTTCCCAAACACTGTTATTAAACTATATTTTTTATTGAGGGGTATGGGCTATTGTCAGGTAATGTGGACCAATGATCCCATTGCCGGCAATGTACCAGTCAGGTTGAACTCCACACGGTTCCCCCTGGCAACCATAATGATAAATTCCTGGTGAATTTGTTACGATAACTGACCTGACCTCATACCCATCTTATCCTCCTCCACTGGTGCCCCGCCAGCGTAAACCGTTAGCGCAGGCGGGTGCTCCATTCCATTATCATACACTAAAAAAAACCTACATACATCTATTACACAGCCCTATTTCAAAGTTCGCTACATAGACCCGTCAGGGACAAGAATTGAAGGATATTCTTAGGAGCGTTGGTTTTTATCTCCTCAGGATAAAGTGTAAACTTTCCAAAGGAGATATTTTGTTTATGTATGAGCGGGCTACAATATTTATAAATATTTCTTATGTAAATAATTCGTTTTATTATAATACATATGATAATACATTAACAGTTTTGAAAAAGTAGGTGATTTAATAAAAGCAACAAACTCCCACGAAAGTCTGTTTTATGGAAATTGTCAACAAACTTTTGCCAGAAAAAAATTCAAATGTGACATAAAATAGTTTCTTTGTAAAAAAGCTTATTATAAAATTGAAGAATTTATAAATGATAATAATGTTTTTGTAGAAAATATCTAACTTAAAATTCATAGCGCTGACAATGTTATCTGATTGAACAGAGATTAAGTGCGTAGCGGTTTCTATGTTGATTGTCGCATGCCTAATCCTTGTTGTTAATTAAATATAAGTAAATCAGTATTTATTTAAAAGAGCAACACACAAGTTTCTTGATTATATTCTTCTTGTGATGAATCTGCATTCCGAATAAGCGGTAGAATAAAAAAAACTTGACTATTCAAAAGTGCTTATATTAAGTTTATTTGAATAAAGATTATTTCTATTTCTATTTCTAGTTATTGTAAGGATGCTGTTAATTACCTTGGATTCATCCAGCTTGTCATGTACCGTCGACTCTTCAGCCTCCGGGAGGTCCTGCTGTGTTGTTCCTGCACAGTACGATCTGTTCACTACTCTTACATAATTAAAACCATTTGACACAAATTTGATACCCGAAAATAATTTTGTAAAATACATTCTCACAAAAAATACTAAAAATATATACTGACAATAAAAATATAAAAAAAAATATTATTGTTATAGAAATTAAACCATCTAGATTGTGGATATGTTGGAATCGGTTTTTAATTGTAGAATGTATGAATTTGAATAAAATTGTGACTTCACTACATATGGTACTATTAGTACTATTATATAAAACAGTCGATGTCTCTGTCTGTCCGTTTCCATGTATGCTTAAATCTTTAATTTATGTATAACTAGCTGTTCCCGCAACTTATCCGCGTGAAATTTAACTTTATTTTACTAAAATAAAAGTAGTTTACTTTACTCTTTATTCCATTCTGCTTTTGTTAAAATTGTTTAAATAAAATATTTTTATTAACTAATGAGATAATTTTTAACATAAATGATATATAAATAATATTTTCCTCTAAAACAGACAACGATGAATAAATTAGTACCGAGCTGCAAGGATATAACTATCCATAACAAAAAAGAGTTTTTGACGACCAAATATTTAATAAGTCTGACGATATAAGAACCCTCTCTGGAATATTATTTAAAGAAAACTGCATGATCTTAGTTTCTTTTTCCGATGGAATATTAAAATAATAAATTGTTCCTCATGACATTTAGATTAATATACATATTGACATATACCTACATACAATAATTCATACATATAAACATGTCTATTTACGAGTTTTGTACGAGTATAACATGATATATGTTTACTATGTATCTATTGCTAAATTTATTATTATTATTATTATTAAAATAATGTAGACAGAGCTGCAGGATATATATATAAATATATAAACTTTATAATCAACTAGCTACCCACCCCGGGTGTGCTTATATCTATACATATATGCATATATACGTTTTTTACTACATGCATATGACTATAAATACGGTACATACACCAAAATAACATTATTTTAACAATTTTTGTCTGTCTGTTTGTTCCGGCAAATCTCTGGCTAATCTCTTCCGATTTTAACGGGACTTTTTTTGACAGATCAGCTACCTGCCAAAAAAAGTCCCGTCAAAATCGGTCCAGCCATTCCAGAGATTAGCCGGAACAAACAGACATATTATATATTGATCTATATAATTTAGGTTTTAGGCATACATGGTGTTGGATTACAATCCAGATTTGTATCGAACTACACACTCTAAAAAAATTCTTGTACAGATTGTAATCTATTTTGTGTGCTATTAATAAAATAAATAAATAACATTTAACAGTTTGCATGTACTCACCATAACAAACCAATGAATGACAAAACGCCTACTAACTTTAGATAGGCACAACATAAAAATAATGATAGGGACAATGACGGGCCACTGTCCCTTAAACAAACATCTGTACACAATAGGTGCTACAGACAGTCCCCTGTGTGGGGCTGCTTTGTAGCCGAGGAAACGGCTGCTCACGTAATCCTGGAGTGGTTACAGTGGCCACACAACGTAATCAAATCCACGGAAAGGTGAGGTCGCTCCGTGAAGCCTGCGAAGACACCAGAAGACTTCTGCGCTTCTGGGAGGAGCTTGGCTGGCCACTTCAGTAGTCTGGCTCTACACGCACAACAGCCCAAACGAGAAGCCAATTGCGGAAAATGGAGTCTAACCTACATTACATTACATTACTCACCAACTCCCCAACCAACCAACACCAACTCCCAGAGTCTGTAGTCAATTTGCCAGAAAAAAAATTCAAATGTGTCATAAAATAGTTTCTTTGCAAAAAAGCTTATTATAAAATTGAAGAATTCATAAATGATAATAATGTTTTTGTAGAAAATATATAACTTAAAATTCATAGCTCTGACAATGTTATCTGATTGAACAGAGATTAAGTGCGTAGCGGTTTCTATGTTGATTGTCGCATGCCTAATCCTTATTATTAATTAAATATAAGTAAACCAATATTTATTTAAAAGAGCAACACACAAGTTTCTTGCTTATTCTTCTTGTGATGAATCTGCATTCTGAATAAGCGGTAGAATAATAAAACTTGACTATTCAAAAGTGCTTATTATAAGTTTATTTGAATAAAGATTATTTCTATTTCTATTTCACCATAAAACATTTGAAAATGCCTTGAAAGAAATTTGATGACTGAACAACACATACTTACAATATGCAAAGGCTTTCTACATTTCGCCTAAATAATATAGTTAGGAGAATTGGTATTTCTCTATTTAATTTCAATGTGGCTTTAGAGATAGGCGGTACGGAGCCATAAAATAGAATAGAATAGAAAATCCTTTTTTTCCCTTTTCTCTTTCCATCTGCCATCAGTCTTATGGCTATAATCAGATATGTTGTAATTTTTTCTTAGAGAAAAAATCCTTTTATTCAAATAAACTCAATTTAAGCTGCTTTGAATAGAATAGTTTTTTTTAATCTACAGCCTATTCTGAAAACTGTGTGGTCCTCTTTATTAAACTGTTATATATAGAAATTTCATCATCATCATCATCATCACCTCAGCCCAAAAGACGTCCACTGCTATATAAATTAACCAACATTAAAGCTTATTGTTGTATAACAATAATTGTGTGTGTCTTTTATTATCACCCTCAATATAACTTTTAACAAAAAAGTCAAATATGTAGGGTACAAAAATATAATCATTCTATGTAAGCCTCAATACAAGCATTCATATTAAAAAACATGATTCTAAAATATAAATGTGTTTTAATCCATAATACTTATGCTTCTAAAACATATCAAAATTCTTGACTTGTTGTATAATATGGATTGCCATACTCAACCTTGAGTTTACCAAAATAAACAATACATATGATTTCTTATCTTTTATTACCAATATTAATTTTAAAACTAGTTGTTTTAGGAACATGTCTTATTGTTAAAGATATCCTAGCCTTTCTACTAACTGTTGATCCCTTCACATATTTCTCAGAGCACATGCTCAAATTAACTACAGAATCATCGAGTACATCCTCCTTTAACTCTTCGATACAATGTAAATATTTACTAAACAGACTATCTTGCAGAATGAGCAAGCTCCTCGGCTCTAAAAGTAATGAGAATATTGGAGTCACTTTACTTGTATCTTGCTGAGGTTCGAGAAACTTTAGAATGATGTGTGAACCAACGGATATTGTTGTGATAGTTGGGTAAAATAATGACCCGTCTAAATGTGGCATAATGCCTTGCCCTGGTAAATATTCATTAACTAAAACATGATTAGGTCGTTTCCCGCCCATTACGTCCAGTCTGTGTATATTTTCTAAGTAGTGATCAAGCCAGGTCGGTATTGTTTCTGCTATCATGCCATTACTGTGAGGTATGCCTCCCCAGTTCTGCAGCCGTCTATTTGAAAGTTGGGTCCACTTTGGTTTCGGTGCCGCATGCACATTTGATAGAATTGAACTCTCCTCGCTCGCTGATATATATTCCGATATATAGTAAGCCGTTGGATGTATCTACGAAAACAATTATATTGTTTTTAAACATACGTTTATTGCGGGAGACAATTTAATTCCAATTAAAATTAATATTACAGATGTCAGAAATGTCCATTTAGGCCTTCTGCTAGCCCAAAAATAAAAGGATGTATAAAAAAATAAAATAGTAAACATAACTTACGTTTTGAACTTGAAACTTTTTTATATCAGTGGACATTTCAACAAATCTTATCTACATAATGATAAAGAACTTGCATTAAAGGAAACAAACATTCGTAATGTAACCACTAACTTAAATCAGTTGAATAATAATAAAAACTTTTTAAAGTTATATAAACTAAAAAGTAATGCAAATAATTTTAAATTTATGATATAAAAGTGCTCGGATACGGATAAATAAATAATAAAATCAAACTGTCAAAGTCACATTACTTGTCATAATGACAGTTTAAAAACACAGTAAATAACCTGACACTAGATACTTAGTTGCCATATCCATTAGATGATTAGACAGTACCAAACACAGAACACCAATATCCTACCAAATATACAATTAGAGAAAAAATGTTTTAGGTACATATATAAATCTCCACATCATGTGGAGTAGTGGTTAGTCGTCGACGATTTTACTGTTGACGCAACGATTACCGTTTACCGTCGACGACGAACTAGTTAAAAAAATAGTCTAATTTTTAGTAGTAATTAGTTTACGTCGAAGACTATTTCTTCACATGCAACGGACTCATCAAATAGTTGACGAATAAATAAGTTTATGTGTGAATTGTAGAACAATTTAATTGTTAACGCACATAAAATGGCACGTTTAACAAAACGGTTCGTTTATTCAACGCCCATCTCTGTCATCTATAACAATTATGACGGGGTACTTAAATATGTGTAAATGCACTTTATTATTCCATTAATTAATTCAATATAACAATATAAAAATGCATTATACTTTAAGAAAAATGTTTTAAATGTTTAATGTTTTGCAATGTAAAATAAGTTTTCTGCACTATTTAATTTTTATAACTAGCAACTTTAGCGTTTTGTTACTTCAAATTTTAAACGTGTTTTGAAATTAATATTTTATATCAACTACGTAATTTTATTTTAATCAATAACTCTCTACTTTCTAAAATAATGTATGAAAATTCATCAAAATATTATTACTTATAAAAATTTCATGATCGTATGAAATAATACTTAACATATTTCAGTAACTAAAATCCGTACAACAAAGTGCAATCACAAAACATATACAGCTAATCTTTTTTGACATTAGTTCACAGAAGATAATGTTATTTGTTAGATATTTTTTTGTAAATATTTGCTAAACCAGCAATTGTATAATGTGAACACAATGGGCGGTTGCATTGGTATTACTAGAAGCAGAAGCGGTCCAATAGAAGAATCCTCTGGAACGGTATCACGTCCTAATTCCGGTACGTGAATATCACCTCGTCTGTCGCCGTGGAGACCACTGCATGTTGTGTCTACAGTAGAATAACATCTCTTTTGTTACAGGCGGGCTGAGAAAGAACCAGTCACTATGTCATGAGACGATAAGGTGGAAATCCGACGTGCCTCTCACTGAAGGACAGCTGAGGAGTAAACGAGACGAGTTCTGGGACACGGCCCCAGCTTTTGAAGGTCGGAAGGAGATATGGGACGCGCTGCGGGCGGCAGCTGTAGCCGCCGAGGCGATGGACTTTCAGCTCGCGCAGGCTATTCTGGATGGAGCTAGTGTCTCTGTACCTAATGGATATCTAACGGAATGTTATGATGAATGGGGGACAAGATATCAGGTAAAATCAATACTTTTAATAATCAAATGACTGTGTAGTTAACATATAAATAGCCACTCAAATATTACAAATTGCAAATACTTTAATGGATCCCTTACTAATAGAAATTAATACCTACAAACTTGTTTATACTTACAGTGTTTTGTAACATTCTTTCCAATGATAACAATATCTTGCAAGCAAAGGATGAATGAATAAAATAGGTGTATGTTAGGTATTTTTAGAAATAAGGTCATAGAGATAACCTAATTATAAAAAGACATTTGAATCAATATTTTAATACACAAGTTCTGTTTTCTTGGTTTGAAAGAATGATCCTCCAAGATCTGGTTTAGCATAAGGTCTGTTCAGGTTATAGGTGTAGGTATTTATTTTGTTAAGGGACATTAATAGTACATGCTAAGCAGCATGTGCTCACTGAATTCACCCTAATTTTTAATATTTATTTGTATTATTAACTGCACCCGTGACTTTGTCTGCTTGGAATTTAACTTCAATTTTCTAAAATAAAAGTAGCCTAAGTTACTCCTTATTACATCAGCTACCTGCCAATAGAAGTCCCATCAAAATCGGTCCAGCCATTTCAGAGATTAGGCAGAATATAGAGACAGGCAGACGCACAAAAATTGTAAAATTGTGATTTTGGTGTATGTACTGTATTTATATTCATATGCATGTAATAAAAAACATTTATTTCAATAATACAAACAAACACTCCAATTTTATTTGTATGGTACAGATGTTGCAATCTCACTTAAATAGAATTAGAGCAGTGTTTCTAGTCATTTTGCTGAAACTACATTCTGATGAAAAACAGTAGGTCTCTCGAGATGGCTGACCTCTGGATCTGAATAGAATTCTGGTGCTTTTAGCCTCCCCTGGGATAGTGTGTCACTTCAGGATATTATGATGCATAATTAGGAAATCCTAACGCCTTGCGGCATTTTCTACCAGTCAACCACAGGTTGTGCAGAGAAAAATTGTAGACGGTGGAAATATAATCAATAAAAAAAACAATAGGTCAAAAAATTATACATTTACTAAAAGTAAACACATGTATATACATACATAAATAGATATAATATATATAAATCTATAAATAAATATGAAATAAACTATATAAATCAAACATACTATATACATATAACATAGTCTGACAATGAAATAGTGAAAACAGAAAGAACGTAACAAAAGATAGGAAATAGAGACTAAAAAAAAGATATCTGGAAAGTATATCAGTATCATCATCATCTGCTTCTTCCTTATCCCATTTATTTGTGGTCGGCGTAATATGTTTTTCTCTTCCATTCATCCCTGTTCGCAGTCATCGCGTTATTTACTTCCTTCCTTACCATATCATCTTTCACACAGTCCATCCATCTCTTTTTCGGCCTTCCTCAGCCCTTATAACCATCCACATTCATATGTAACACCTTTCTTAAAATATTATCCTCATTCCTACGCATTACATGTCCATACCATGATAGACGATTACTCTTCAACCTCTCTGACACCAGTGCCACTTTTATACTTCCTCTAATGTGTATAAGTAAATTCGTATAATTTATTTGCTAAACATATTGTAAATAACCTCAAAAAGATCAACAAAACATAATAATTTGTAAAATCACAACATTGCTATATTTGAATTAAAAAGAAATATATATTTATTCATTTACCTATGTATATAACTATAATATAATATAATATATATGTATTTATTTCGATAATTTAACATCCCCTCCAGAGGAACACATTATACAATTAAAACTTTGGCCGTATCAAATCTCAGCTGAAGTACTACATAATATATTTATAATACAAAAAAAAATGTGATAATAAAAACAGTAGAGAAACAAATAAATTTAAAGATAAAGAAGCCTTTATTTCTGTACTATTATACATTTTTTTTTTCTACATTCCTGTTCATATTATTATATTATACTATAAATTTATTATTATTATATATATTTTTTATTATTATTGTTTGTTAAGTAGTTTAATTTTTTTTTATGTTTAATTATTAATTTCATTTTTCTATATTATATCCCGCAGTACAGAGTGCCTTATGGTAAAGGCCTCCTCTAATTCCTTCTAAAAATAAAATAAATTTAATAAAACAAAGTAAAAACATGTGTATCAGTATATGATATTGATAATTACATTCAATTCAAATATCAAATAATCAAATAATAAGCGAAAAAAACCACCAAACCAGTAAAAATGAAACAACTATGACAATAACTCATGCTGCATTGTTAGAAAGTTTCTACAGACAGATCAGGCCTACATTTGTATTATGGTATATCCACCTGAAATAGAACATTGTTATGTACTTGGCTTAGGCCCGTACATACCAAGATTACAGGCGAAAGTCGAAAAAAATTATAAAAAGAAAATAATAGTATTATCTAGGTATTATGATAGTCTAGATAAAGCTTCTAACCTAGTGAAGGAAACAAAGGAAATATGGTAATTTCCATTGTTTCTGAATTAAGACCACAATAATAAACGAAACCTTATGAATCCTTACATGCAAACACTTTTTGTCTTTCTCAATTTATCTATATGTTACTTTTAGTGATATCTATAATCTGTTATAGTAATTTTATTGATTAACTAGCTGATCCCGTGATTTCGTCTGCGTGGAATTTAACTTTATTAAGTAGCCTAAGTCACTCCTTATTACATCTGCTATCTGTCAATAAAATTCCTATCAAAATCGTGACAAATTCACCAGGAATTTAACACGGTGGTTTCCAGGGGGAACCGCGTGGAGTCAACCTGACATGGTACATTGCTAGCAATGGGGTTATCAATCCACATTATTAACAATCCCCTTCCCCCCGCTTTTAAGGGGGTAAAAAATAGTCGATGAAAGTTTGTATAGAAAATCGTCATTTTTGAAGCTATAACGAGGAATCTTTATTCTGTCCTATTTTGGGTTAGATTATTAAATATTTTTTCTATAATATAGACGGCAGTCCAGCGGTCTAGCACGCCGCTTTACGACCGATGGTCGCGGGTTCGATTCCTCGCACGGTACAAACATTTGTATGATTGTTTGTATCGGTCTGGGTATTTTATATGTATAATGCGAACACTGATTAGATTTTTTGATTTTTTTTTATATAGAATATGCTGGTAGTCACTCTATTCTCCCAAATTTGAATTTAATTAAAATAGTATTATTGTAAATATGTACAACATTAAAAAAAAAACGAGCCGAGTTTCACGTCACTTCTTCTCATCTCGAAATCATTCCGAACTGACGGTAGATTTGACATATCATAAGAGTCTGTAATAGACCTACATGAATAAAGATAATTTGAATTTGAATAATATGTATGTATTTCCACAAAATAAATATCTATGTATATGTATCAGTTATCCCATAACTCAAATTTTAGTTAGCTTAACTTGGGTCTAGATGGCGCTGTGTGAATTGTCCTGAGATTATTATTATTATATTTCGTCAAGGTCATTATTCCACGCGGACAAAGTCGCGGGCACAGTCTCCTCTCTAATTTCTCGTTGACAATGCTTTGAACATGTATTGTGGTATTGATGTACAATTAAGGAACTAGTTGACGAGTGAATGTTATTTGTATATATTATATTGTCAATTTGCCGCCATTTCCTGTTCACTTGTCATTTTTGGGCAGTCATAATTGTGCAATGCCTTATCAGGTTACTGATGACGTTTTTTATACATAAATTGAATTCCAAGTTACTGTAGTTAGTTTTTTAAATATTACAACAATATTAACTGTCCCGGAAAACGGTGTTTTGCCATATAAATTAAAATCGCTATTAAAAATAGGGGTTTATGCTAGAAGGGTGAAAATTTAGGGTTGTATATATTTATTAATACCACATAATAAATAAATAAAAATTGTCGAAAAAATGAAATTTTATTTTTTGGGGTGAGCCACCCTAAAGATTTAAGGCTACAATAGTTATAAACCTAAATGTTCAGCTCTTAATTTAACTCTTAAGCTTTATAATATTAGTATAGATAGGCCTTACTGTGTTGTGCCCGCGACTTCGTCCGCGGGGTATAGTATACTTGTCAAACAAAGAAAGAATATGCAATAATTTAACACGAAGAAAAAAGTTTCATCGTTCTAGCATCAAAAATTACGATTTTCCATACAAAATTTCATAATTTTGTTTTACCCCATTAAGGGTAGTATTTTGTTCAAACTTTGACTGTCATATTTATTTATATTTAATCAACAGCCTATCAATAAATTACAAGCTTCTAGTTTAAAAATGACGATATTTTCATACAAACTTTCATCCCCACTTTAATTAAACCCCTTATAACTGATTTTCGCATTAAAAAGTAGCCTATATCCTTTCTCAGGGTCTAGACTATCTGTGTACCAAATTTCATTTAAATAGCTTCTGTAGTTTTGGCGTGAAAGCGAGACAGACAGACAGAGATACTTTGCATTTATAACATTAGTAACGATTAAGATTGTTTCACTAATCAGACAAAAGTAATCTTTTTTATTAATTATCTTATTAATATTATAAGTGTATGGATGAATGTTTCTTATTTTCTCTGGGCGGGAGCACCAGAATACCAGCTACTTCCATTTGACCGCATTCAGAACCGAGCAGCCAGAATCATTGGTAATCAACGTCTATGAGACAGACTCGACCCATTGGCTCTGCGGCGAGATATTGCATCTCTGTGCACTTTCTACTGCATATATCACGGGGAGTGTTCTGAGGAATTGTTCGGATTAATACCAGCTGCTGAATTTCACCACCGTACCACCCGCCAGAAACTGAAATACCATCCTGATCATCTGGATGAATGGCGGTCTTCCACAGTTCGGTTTTCTAGAAACTTTTTGCCACGCACAACCACAATATGGAATCACCTTCCAGCAATGGTATTTCCGAACCGATACGATATTGAAACCTTCAAGAAAAGAGCTTATTCATTTTTAAAAGGCCGACAACTTACTTGCATTTCCCCTGGTGTTGCTGTGCTCATGGGCGGCGGTAATCACTTACCATCAGGTGAGCCGCATGCTCGTTTGTCCCCTGTGTTATAAACAGATTTTGACGAAACTACAGTAATATAGCTTATACATCAGAATAACACAGAGACATTATGTACATTGGGCTAAATATAATGATAAATGTCAAGTACAGCGGAAAGTGTGTGGGTCAGCTATTTGCTCTACATTTCAAATCATATTTTCTGTTAATAATCTACTGTCGCCCCAAATAAATTGGTTTTGATTTGATTTGATAGGACTGCTTGTTTCATAAATGCAAAATCATAATATCTTCTCTCTATAACGTTAACTGTCAAACCTGATTTGATATCCACTATACAGACATAGCCTAGTGTGGGGTCATATTTACAATGTTACTTAAGTTAAATTTTATGAAATAAATGTTATTCTATTCTATTCTATTCTATTCTATTAGAATAGAATTCTATTCTCAATCATTACATTTTTTTTAATCTACCGCTCGTTCGGAAAGCTGTCTCATCACAAGAAGAACGAGCAAGAAACTTGCATGTTGCTCTTTTAAATAATTTTATTATTACTTTACATTTTTAAGTTTAAGTGTATGAATACAAACCACCAATTATTATATTCTATTCTTTATTCATGTAGGTCTATTACAGGTACAGCTCATATTCTTTTCAAATAAACGTTCAACATTAACGTCATCAACATCATCATCATCGTAGCCCGGAAGACGTCCACTGCTGGACATAGGCCTCCCCCAAAGATCTCCACGACGATCGGTCCTGCGCTGCTCGCATCCAATGCCTTCCAGCGATCTTGACCAGATCGTTATAGTTCACCTATAAATTATTCTCACGTCCGTTACTAGCCATATTCAGCTATAATTCTATATACATTTTCTTTAATACAATTTATTGTTAATATAATATTCCTTTCATTATCATCTGCTTCTTCCTTATCCCATTTATTTGTAGTCGTCGTAATATGTTTTTCTCTTCCATTCATCCCTGTTCGCAGTCATCTCGTTATTTACCTCCTTTCTTACCATATCATCTTTCGCACAGTCCATCCATCTCTTTTTCGGCCTTCCTCTGCCCTTATAACCATCCATTTATATGTAACACCTTTCTTAAAATATTATCCTCGTTCCTACTCATTACATGTCCATACCGATTCCTTTTAATATACTAATTATTAGTTGAGGGTCTATTTTAAATGTATATTTATTGTTATCGGCCCCACCATACAATCATCATATAATTTGAAATAATGTTTACTGTTTGTAAAGGTACCAATCTACTGCCTGTCGCCCCCCATCAACATGGTGAAGGAGGCGAGTGGTCGGGACTCTCCGGCGGAGTGGTCGGAGCCGGTGGAGGGCGGCGCGGAGCTGACGCTGCGGCTGCGGCTCTCCAGCACCTGCAAGGACGTCGACCTCGCTGTCTACTCCCGACACACCATAGCGCAATGCAAGAATAAATTGCACGTAAGTATCAGAAATTGTTAACTTGGACTTGAATTTCTGTGAATAGAGACTATTATGATAATTTTAAAACTGAAGACTTCCTATGTAGTGGTGTGAAGCACACTTGCATAAACTGTGAATAGATCCGAATCCGACATATTATTTATTATTGAATCTTTTTTTGACAATCGTCGCTAATGCATGATTGAACAAGTTTGAACTAGTCTTGTACGTGTCACCACTGTTATACTCGACGCGTTTATTGTTTTGATTATGATTGCTTAGTTGAATTTGACTACAAACTAGAAGAAAGCACAAAACACTGACAATTCAAGAAAACTATATTTTAGACACAATTCATAACGAATCTTTTAGTAGTTGACATACATAATGAAGTAATATTTGTACTTCAGGTGTGTAACATATATAACACTTATCACTGGACCTGTAATTTGTCAGATTAAAATATTCTTTTGTAAAAAAAATCGGACTATAGTTTACCGACAAATTCAATATCCTGCAAAACGATTGTCGGATAACCGATAAAAGTTTACCATCGCTCGCTCCTAAGAATATCCTTCAATTCTTGTTCCTGACGGGTCTAGGTCGCGAACTTTGAAAAGGGCGAGCACAATAGATGTATGTAGATCGCAGTGCACTTGACAATAGTCTAAACAATCCAATAAAGAAAAAAAAATAGGATATCTATATATAGTAGCTGTGCTCGCGGTATCACTCGTGTTAAATTTCATTTTAAAATATAGCCTACTTGCTTTTACCCGCGGCTTTGCTCGCATTGAATCCATTAAATAAGTATCGGAGATGCAATAGAAATGAATCAATATGATGATTTATAACATCAATACTGGGGGGGAAAGGGGATTGTTAGTAATGTGGACTCATGACCCCATTACTAGCAATGTACCATGTCAGGTTGACCTCAACGCGGTTTCCCCTGGAAACCATCGTGATAAATTCTTCGTGAATTTGTCACGATGTGCTAACTGACCTGACCTCATACTCATCTTATCATCCTCCACTGACGCCCCGCCAGCGTAAACCGGTAGCGCAGGCGGGTGCACCATTCCATAATCACGTGGACATCATGTGGACTCATGACCCCATTACTAGGAATGTACCATGTGAGCTTGACCTCCAAGCGGTTCCCCCTGGTTATCTGACCTGACCTCATGTGCATCTTATCATCCTCCACTGGTTCCCCGACAGCGTAAACCGTTAGCGCAGGCGGGTGCTCCATTCCATTATCATCCATAAAAAAACTTTATATTATACATGCATGTAGTAAAAAATTTTCAATATTACAAACAGACAATCCAATTTTATTATAATGTTTTATTAAAACATTACAGGCACAGGAGAATATAGAGCCGTGGCGGCAGCGCTGGTTCTACAGCGGGAAGCTGCTCGGCGACAGACTGCTGGTGGAAGAAGCGAGGATCACCCCAGGGTACGTGGTCCAGGTCATCGTCAGCACCGACCCGCAGCCGCCCAGCTAGTCACCCACGTATATATACTAGCACGATATACCGGTACACGTCTTTGTATACTACTAGCTGTGCCCGCGGTTTCACCCACATATAGCCTGCTATTCTGAAAGCTATATATATTTTTATCTTTTTTGGGATTTATATAATGATTTCATAGTGACTATGATAATCCCCTCGCACCTGTATTGAATGATAAAAAAATCGACTTAAATTAATATGATACCAACCAGAATTACTTGACTGCGTCCGGATAAACATATGTATAGTATATATTCCCCCTCGTATATGAATTTCAAATATTAAAACTGAACATTTGTGACGTAAGTTGTATAACAATTTTGCATAAAATACAATCTAGTAATATTTATGTATAAATTACACACACAATAAATATATTATTGTTTGTATGAAATTGTTTATTTGGCTAAGTGATTCAGTCAAAGTCAAAAAAGGTTGGGAATCTCTGTATATATTTATAATCGGGCACTGTTGCAATAATATATATTAGTTTGAAACAGATTGACAATGAAACTTTTACAATTATGTAACTTGCGATATATATATATATATATATATATATATTCTGACGCCGCTGTCTGTCACTTATATCGTTTAAATTACTCAACGCATTTTAATATAGTTTTGAGGAATAGATAGAGTGGTTCAAGAGGAAGGTTTAAATGTATAATACCCAATTTACACTCAGCCGGAGTGGGCAGGGAAGTGCGCAGCGCGAGAGTGTAAACACGAGTGGAAACACTTCCCATGCCATTGTCGCTGCCACTCGCGCTGAGACGCTCCCTCGATTGTCGGTTTTTCGTGCTCGAGTCAAATGACTGGCAGCGCGAGTGGCAGCGTGTTTTTACATTCAGCCCTCTCGCTCAGTTGTCGCCCGGCAATATTTCCGGCAGCGCGAGTGGCAGGGGAAGCGGCTGAATGTAAACGTAGCATTATACATGCTTGTTATAGTATAGAACAAACCGAGGAATTCAAAGATTTGTAATGCATTCCGCCGGACGGTGTGAGTTTAATAAAGTAAGCAAAGTCGCAGGTAACTGCTAGTGGTATTTATAACAAAGACGTGTACTTAACCAATCTCGAAATGAATATATTCTAAACGTATATGAATATTAAATATTAAAACTGAACATAAACGTAAGGGTTGTATAACAATTTTGCATAAAATACAATCTAGTAATATAAATATGTATAAATTACGAGTTCACGGTTATTATACAAGTATAAATATTAAACGGGATTGTTTGTATGAAATTGTTTAGTACAGTGATTCTCAAAGTGGTCTATATCGACCCCCAGGGGTGTATGAAAAACTGCAAAGGTCTACGAAAGCGGTCATCTTGTTTTTACTTTATGTTTTTAACACTAAACTTTACTACAGTTTGAAATTTACAAAAAAACACTACACACAAACCAGGTAAGAATGGGGGGTCTACCCGAAAATATGGCAAGGGGTCTACGACACAAAAAAGGTTGGGAATCTCTGTATAGGACGGGCTTTATAATCGGGCACTGTTGCAATCAATACCGTTTGAAACAGATTGACAATGAAACTTTTACAATTATGTAACTTGCGATTGAAATTTTTGGCCTATATGTTATTCTGATGTATAAGCTATATTACTGTAAAGTTACATCAAAATCTGTTAAGTTGTTTTTGCGTGAAAGAGTAACAAATATCCACCCATACAAACTTTCGCGTTTATAATATTAATAAGATGAAATAATATAAAAGTTAATATAGAAATAATTGATCTTTGTAGGTTTTGTCACATTTGTGTGGCTCCTTCTCAGGAGTAACACATATGTGTGACGTGACATATTTTACAATGACACTAGTGGACCGAGCGTAAGTTCTGTAACAAAATATATTATTTAAACCTTATGTATATGCAGATAGATTTGGAAATACTAAGTTTTGTGTTATTGCATAGTTTTTAATTGTATATAAATTTTGCAATGTCACAAAACTTCTCGTGTTACAATGTCACACCTCATCGATGTCGACATGCATTTGTGACGTACATGAATCACTTATACAATAAAACCCCAGATCAGTCTGAACTTTTTCTATGCAGATGCAAAACAATTTCAAACAATCAACCATATAAATATATTATTTTTATATATTAGTATAAATTATTACATTTGGCTAATGTTTCAGTTCAAGTGTTGAGTTTATGTTAAAGTCACACTTCAATCTATATTGAAATCGTGATGTACTTTCAGTTCAGTTACTTTGTTCGTTTGTATTCGTTGTCAAATATTGACTGTAGAGTAGTAACGAATTAAAGTTGTAAATTCATATATATTTATAAAGGAAGCCCCAATGTAGTATAATATATATTAGTTTAATAAATACAAGATAGTTACGAGTTAAACAATTATGTAACTAATATATATACGTTTTGTGAACTGCCGTGGTACCGAATATTCGGCCTCTATATATGATTTCAAGTATAAATATTGAAGTTTAAGAGCTAGCGGTCGTTAGGTGATACCGTAGGCAAAGAGACTCAGTGGTAAACGTCTATTTTAAAAAGGAACCAAGCAACTGTAGTTTCTTGATACTTGGTTACTATTTGTCAACGTATGTAACATAACAAGCTCCGGTTAGCTTGGTGCTAGATGGCGCTGTGTAAACTGTCTAGGGTTATTATTATTATATAAAGGTTTTGGACCATCAAATGACCGCTAGCTTTTGAGATATATAGGCACTAACTTGATTTAATGTCATCGAGCTGTCACTTCATTCACGAGTCATGCAAAATGTGATCATTGTCACTTATTAAAAGATAAAGTTGTGCTTAGCATCCACATTGTTAGCGAATTGAATTTTGGTGACATTTTGCATAATACGTGTATAAATAAACTGCGCAGATAAGGAGTAGACGCGAACCATCTTTTATCTTACTCTACTGAAAGAAGAAATGAGTGTTTAGAAAGAGATGCATGTAATAGCAGAGGATGTGCTCTTTCCTAGTTCTTATCTGCGCGAGTAGTGTAATATCAGCTCTATATTACATATAATTAATATTTATTTAGTACTGAATGAGGTTATACTCCTGTATATAGGGCTATTAATAAATCACGTCACACGAAATTCGAGAATTTTCCTTGTCACAGTTGGTCACATGTAGACCTAATGTCCCTACTAAACTTTAAATTGCATGTTTAGATATTAGATTTAAAATGTGACATTTTCCACAAAATTTTGACCACTTCTTCGACAAAGTGTGACATGCCTTGTCACACTTTATCGGGCCTTTACGCGTGACGTAATATTGATAGCCATTTTATACAGGCGGCCGATACAAAGAGATTATTAAGTGAGCGAGTACCGCCACTGCAGCACACCTGTGCGCACATATAAGCGACTGCCATGTATTGTGATGTTGTGAGAATTTTCTTTATACTTACTAATTATTATATAATATATTGTTTATTTTGAATATTTTAAATGAACGCTAGATATTAATTTTACACGGATTTGTATGCAGTACAAGTGTAACTTTCGACGTTGAATGTTGCCAGTAATTGCGACATTCTACCAAGAAGTGTTACCAAATGAAGATTGAACGATGAACAGAAACTTTTTGTAGATCTTCAAAATTGCTTAGAATGATTTAACTAGGTGTATAAATTGTTATTTTTTTTAAAATCTTTTCTAGTAGCTACTCTGATTAGAATTACAGTCAAAGAAGATTCGAGAAAAGTTATTTCAATTATTTTTCTATGTTAAATATGTATGTATTTAAAAAAAAAAACTATGTACTTGTATCAGTCATCTAGTACCCCTAACACAAGCTTTAGATAGCTTAACATGGGAATAGATGGCGCTGTGTGAATGTCCTGAGATTATTATTATTATTATAAATTATATTTTTCAAAACGCAATCTTCATTTGGTAATTCATGATTTCACTGTTCACCGTCGGTACTGCTTGCGACAATCAACGTCGGCAGTAGCAAGTCGAGGGACTATGAATTATATAGCTTGTACTAACGTTAGATTGCACACGAGTTGAAATAGGCAAAATTTAAGTTAAGTTCTTTAGACGATGTATTCTTATATATGTTTTTTAAGTTTCAGTTCAAATTGTTTTATGGACTAATCACCTCCGGGGTAATACTTAAACGATCATCCCTCGGGCGTTCCTGGTACAATTGCACTCGTTCTCAAAAGTGACTACGATTATACAAATCTAGAAGTATGCAGATGAGAGACATGATCCGCGCACTTGTATTGAATCCTTGATTTTAGAATATTTATCAATTACCATTTTTTTTATAATCATTCTAAGATTGCTCAGTCCCACATAACATGAATTTTGCATCTCACAGTTAACTTAAAACAGTATTCAGTTAAATCTATATGAAATGAAAATTGTTAGCAGTTTCTTTACATAACCAAACATTTGTAATTGCTTTGAGAATGTGTGCTATTGACTCGGGTCGGAGTTACATCGTAATTGTAAATTTTTCATAAATTGTACTGTTAGGCTTTAAGAGTTTTTATTGGTACATAGCTAGTAAATTTATGTATATTTTACACGCGACTGTCTGCCGTTTGTCTGTATATCACCGGTTTGTGGTGTTCGTATGTTTTCGTTAATTTGTACGTTATAAATTTGTGTAGTGACGATTTGGTTTTATATTTGTAAAGATCATATTGATTAAACCTATCATTCTTAAAAGCTAATATCTCATACAAATATTAATTAATGATATATATGCAATGACCATATTATGGAGGCTTGTAAATTAAACAAAATATTAATATTTAATTAAAGTCAAAGTGGATAGAGTTATGTGATCATGACCAATGAGATACGATGTTTTTCTGAGTGGATTCCCCTAATATTTCTCAACCGTAATCCCAGGTAGGGTAGTCAGAGGTGTCGTCAATTGTTAATGTAACACTTGTCACCCTATATATTATTGAAAATATTTGAACCAACTTTCGTCTCGTAGAATTCCCGCACAACGATGGAATATTGTTTTTGACCAGATTCGATCTTACTACCATTTTGTAATATTTACCCGATGCGTGATACGCGTATGTCTA